CGGTGGGATGAGGATCCCGATGGCATCCACGACCTCATGGTTAGCCGGGAGGGCTGGGGCTCAGCTCTGCTGCAGCCCCCGGGGACCCCCGGGCGCAGGACGCAGCCCGGGGCAGGGGGCGAGGGAGGGATGGGGGGTGCGTGCCTCACCCCGGCCCCCCGCTCCCGCAGTCCCGCCTGGTGCGGGACCAGGTGCCGTACTTCATCTGGACCAACCGCTGCGGCGCCGTCGACGGCCGGCTGCTGCGGCAGGACCAGGTGGTGAACCACTACGCCCGGGTGGGCGCCTTCACCACCAAGGTGGGAGCCCGGAGCCCCCCGGGGTGGGGGACACACAACGGGGGTGGGGGGTGTCCAGCGGGGGCTGTCACCCTTCTCTAAACAGGAGGGGCTGTGCCTCAACCTGCGAAACCTGCCCTGGTTTGACCAAGCCGACCCCGACACCTTCTTCCCCCGGTGCTACCGGCTGGGGGCTGTGGACGAGCAGCAAGCCTTCATCGGTGAGCTCGGGGCCGGTGCGGCTACCAGGGCCATTGCCCTCCTGTCCCCCCCGTGCTTCTGGTCCTGTGCAGGACCGGGTGGGGACAATGTCCCCCTTGCAGAGGATTTCCGCCTGACGGCGGCTCGCAGCCTGCTCAAAGTGGCCCTGGAGAGGGCTGGGGATGTGCCGGCGGGGACGGACCAGCCCCTGGAATCCGGTGAGGGGCCAGGTGAGTGTGTGGAGCTGGGCCTGGGAGGAGGGGGACAGGGAGTTTGGGGTTGGACGTGTGGCTGGGGGCTGAGCTGAGCCTCTGCGAGTGGCCGTGGCTTTGGACCCCACACCCCCTCTTGCCAGCCCACCTTATGGGTGCTCTGTCCCCCCCGGCCCCTCCCTGTGCGCCCAAAGCCACCCGTCCCACGGGCAGGCTCTGTGCCACAGCCCCGAGGGTGGCACAGCGGGTCCACAAGAGCCGTGTCCCTCACCCCATACCATCCGCAGCAGGGCCGGGGCCCCCCCAGCTGGTGGAGGAGGCCCTGCAGGTCTGCGAGCAGCACCTGGGCAGCCTGGGGCACCAGGACATCGACGGGGACCCCCCGTCCCCCCGCATGACAGGCAGCGCCTGGGACCGCTTCCTGCGGGACTACTACCGCGTGGCGCAGTGAGTGCCGAGCGGGACAGGGGGGACACGGCGGCGGGGCCAGCACTGAGCCCCCCGCGTCCCCCCGCAGCGAGGGGGCCAGGCTGGCACTGAGCGGGGCGCAGCGGGAGCGGTGCCGGGCCCTGCTGCGGCGCCTGGCAGGGCGGCTGCCCCAGCTGGGCATGGAGGGCGACCGCAACGTCTGGATCCTCAAACCCGGTGCCAAATCCCGCGGCAGGGGTAAGGCCGGGGGAAGCGGGGGGCACGGGCTCCCTGCCGAGGAGGGGTCCCACCGTCGCCGTGTCCCCCAGGCATTGTCTGCACGGCGCGGCTGGAGGAGGTGCTGCGGCTGGCGGGGGGCTGCGCGGCACCCTCGGTGCGGGTGGGCGAGTGGGTGGTGCAGAAGTACGTGGAGCGGCTGCTGCTCATCTTTGGCACCAAATTCGATGTCCGGCAATGGTTCCTGGTGACCGACTGGAACCCTCTGACCGTCTGGTTTTACCGTGAGAGCTACCTGCGCTTCTGCTCCCGGCCCTTCTCCCTGCGCTGCCTGGAGCCGTGAGTGCCCCCCGTGCCGGATCCCCGTACCCCGGCGCCCACTGGCACCCTGGTGACCCAGCCCCACTCTTCCCACCACAGCGCCCGGCACCTCTGCAACGTCTCCATCCAGCAGCAGTGCAGGCCGGCACGGGGCCGGCACCCTGGGCTGCCCCCCGACCAGACCTGGTCCTGCCGGCAGCTCCAGGCCTACCTGGCACAGGTGGGGCGGGCGGGCGCCTGGCACCAGGTGATGGTGCCCGGCATGAAGGCGGCGGTGCTGGGCACCCTGCGCAGCACCCAGGACCTGGTGGGGTCCCGCAAGGGCAGCTTCGAGCTCTACGGGGCCGACTTTGTCTTCGGGGAGGATTGCCAGCCTTGGCTGCTGGAGATCAACGCCAGCCCCACCATGGCCCCCTCCTCGGCGGTGACCAGCCGGCTGTGTGCCAGCGTCCAGCGGGACACGCTGCGCGTGGTCATCGACCGCAGGAACGACCCCGCCTGCCCCACCGGTGCCTTCGAGCTCATCTACAAGGAGGTGGGCTGGAGGGGGGCTGCGGGGGCCAGCACCCCCCAAGCACCCCGAGCCCCCACTCGCTGCATGTCCTCCCGCAGGCAGCCGTGCCTGTGCCTCTGTACGTGGGGTTGAAGCTGATGGTGGAAGGCTGCTCCCTGAGGAAGGCCCAGCCGGCACACCGCCCATCCCAGGGCAAGCCCCGCACCGCTGCGGCTGACACCCCCCAGCGCCGCAGGGCAGCCCCACTCCCCCAGCTGGGAGCATTGCAGGGGGAGCTGGCTCCTCCGGGGCGATGGAGCCACCGCTGCCCCCCCAAATCAGCCTCCCTGGCACCACCGCAGCCCCCGGGCCACTGTGCCAGGAGCCCGCGGCTGCCACGGCTCAGCCGCCCGCTTTGGGCGCCCCCCGCAGC